TCGTTTGCTTTGTTTAATAGCTAAAGTGTAATGTTTTAAAATCAAGACTTGTCCTCACCACTACATCCTGTTGAACTTATTTCGCACCGTACGTAGCCAACTGTGCTTATCGCGAGGTTGCGAGGGTGGACAACACACTAACACACACACAAAAGCAGTTCTAAAGAAATTAGTTTTCAATCTGTGGTTGTGGTGTGGTACGCGTATAGGGAAAGAAATGTGAACGTCACTTTGGTGGTGTTGCGTGTCCTTCACATAGGTCTATGGAACTAAAGATACCGAAGGTGGATCATCAAATGTGCATCATCACCCAGCCCCGTTGTTTTGAAGAAAAAAAGGTGGATGGATGGGTCAGATAGTGGCTCAAATAGCTAGCATAGTAAACAGCAGCCACCACCACCAACACCATCATCATTACCACCGCCGCCGTCATTACCACCAACTAAACAATCATCGTGTGTATCATCGGCATTATCACGAGCAGCACCACCACCATCGTCATAATTACCACTACCACCATAATCACCCACCAACAACTATCAGCACCACCACCACCACAACCACCATCATCTGCATTACCACCACCATCATCTGCATTACCACCACCATTATCATCATTGCCACCATCACCACTTCCAACAGCACCACCATCACTTTTGTCGTAATTACCATAATCATCATCTTCGTAATAATCCCTGCTACTGGCATCATCACCATCGTCATGATTACCATCAACACCCACCATCGCCATTGTTACCATCCACAGCACCACCATCATCACCAATTACCAGCACAGTTTTCATTAAAATGACCAAGATAACCATCATCATTACTATCAACGTCATCGTCGTAAGTACAACAAACGCGACTACCTTCATCATTACGAACCACGCCATCGCTGGAACGATGTACGATCAACAACCACCTTAATATGCATCACCAACGCCACCATATCACTACTACTATCACTACACCGTTACCAACAGCTCCACCACCACTTACAACCAGCACAACCATCGTCACGAACACCAACACCGAGAAGACAACAATCACTACCCACCACGGCCATCACAATCACCACACCACCAACAACCAAAATCACCGTAACCACCATCACCCTACATCGCTACCACCACGACTAACACCATCCATTATATCCACACCATCACCACCTAACAACACTGACACAACCCCACCATCGCCACCACCACCACCACCGTAACCACCACCCACACCATCACAACCACGATCAACAACCCAAACACAATCACCATCGGCATCACCATCAGCGCTCATCACCAAACGTGACGGCCGCGGTCACCACCACCACCACCACCACAAACCGTCGACCATTCCAGAATATTTACCCACCAAGCGTCAAATGAAGCATGCATCCACACGCACATGAGATACATTAATACATCCAAATTCGTCCTCCACCCCCTCCACCCCTACTGCTCCTCTTTCTCATTCAAGTTATTATCATTTTCTCTTACGTCCATCCAAAAGCGCGCGTGTGCCACGTGCGTGCGTGTGTACGCACTGCTGTGTTGTATACGCAGGCACTGTGTTGTATGTATGTAGCCGCACGTGTACGCGCATACACACACACATGCCCGTGTGTGTGTGTGTTCTACATAAATATATACTACTACGAAATGCAAAATCAGCGAGATCTCGCATCTCTACATTTGACATTTGCGCGCGCGCGTGTGTGTGTATGTCTGTACGTACGTCGAGGGGGATGTGTGTGTGTGTTGTCCCCATGTTACGTACAGTCTGTTACCCCCAACAGTCTGCTCAGGCTATATGGGGGATCTATTTAGAACATTTGGGGGGGGGGGGGGTAGGAGCGGTGGTGCAGCGGTTAGCGCACTCGCGTTACGAAGCCGGCGACCCCGGGTTAGATTCTCGCTCACGACCAACGCCGGTGGCAGATTATCTCAACCGGTGCTGGAGCCTCCCGTAGGTCGACTCAGCCTCAAATGAGTGTGTGTGTGTAAACATAGGCCACTAGGGGAGATAAAGGCGGCCGGGCGTGTTGCTCGCCATCCAAACCCCTCGTGTGCCCTTCCCGGCCTTCATAGGTTCTACCTAACAGCACTTGCCCCAACAGTCTGTTAATCCTATAGAGTACACACATACACACACCACGTACCGCTCACATATCGTTGACCCCCACAATACCAAACGTGATGTGAACCGCATGTACACACACAGTTATGATACGTGTTCATCATAATACGCTATGTGATATGATGCACGTGTGCTCAAGATCCGTGCCATTGTGTACTATCCATTTAGCGTAAACAGCACAATAGAGTCCCTCTGCTATATCGGCGTATAGCCTCAATAGACTACTGTGGGGGGCTGTGGATAAATTATATTAGCGAGCACCTATTAAGGCGAACGCGGAGCACCCACGGTCGCCTTCGTCTCCCAAATGCTGATCATAAAGAAAATATATTACACATCACACCGGGCATTAATTTACTTAAGGCTGAGATGACCTAGAGGGGGGGGGGTCGGAGGGGAGTTTGTGATAAAGCAATTGCCGTGGCCGGGGAATCGAACTCAGCTTTACTGACCCCTGGGGGGGTGGGGGTTGTGAGCGCGAGTGCGCCAACCACAAACGCCACCGCTCTCCGCAAATCTCACGCCGCACGCAAAACACAAAACCACAAAACACCGACGACGGTGAACATTGTTGTGCATAGACACAACACGAGTGCACACAAATACACTATCTCTCTCTCTCAACCACGAGATGTCTCGCAAGGCCTCCTCCTCCTCCACGTGTACTCTTGATTCGCGGCGGGAGCTATGGTTTTGAGAGAGATATATATACACACACGGCGCTATGCATATATACATATGCGTATTACAAACGCTTTGTATATTTAGCACGTTGGTTGTTTGTAAACTGGTACAGAATTTAGATGTGAGCATCAACCCGGTACGCCAGTGACTATCACACACAATCACTCATTTAACTGTCCCGCGTTGCTGTAAGCCAAGAAGCTGTTGAAAATAACATTATTTTAGGACTTGAGTCTCACACACACACACACACGTAACAAACCAAATATACCACGGTTGTCCTCAACAGGTTTGTATGGGAGTCAAGCGTTGTTAGCGAGCACCTATTGAGGCCGGTAGGGTAACACACGAGGAACGGTGGCGTAGTGGATATCCGCCACCACCACGAACCACACCGCACGCGTGATGGTGCCTTTTGTCTCTCAAGCCCCATGCACAATAGCCACGCCACCGCGTGACCTGGTTCACATTTTACGGCCGAGCCGACGTAGGCGTGAGTCGAGCCGGGTTCACGTCTCGCCGCCGGCGCTGACTTGATGTGGCTCTCGTCCTGGCCGAGGTTGGGGAACCGTGGTGGCGGTGACCGCGGAACGCAAGGGGCCCAACCATTACGGCGCTCTTTGCACCAACACACGCGGCCTACGCTCGCATCTCAACACCTACACGCTGACTTACCGCTAAAATTAGCAATGTTGCTTAATTGTAATGATTCCACTGCGAGAAGATAGTTTTGGAACCTCCGGTCCTCGCGGCGACACACCCAAGCCACTTAATGCCCTTCCACGTGTTCCAATTTTTTTTTATTCCATTCGAATACAAAGAGTAGTCGCTACACCGCGCCTGATGATTGCTAAACGCGTTCCAAATGACGCAGAGAGAGCTGCAATTTAATTTGAATCAGCGATATCTAACGTCACTTGGGGGTACACACAATATCTATTTCATAATCTGAAAATCTACCTTACATACGCACACAATCCCTCCAACTTAATTTAAATCAGCCCTCGCTTGCTCACGTGGAATATCCACATGCACAACACCTCTGATACGAACCATAACTCTCCGTCATGTGCAACACAAACACACACATATGTACAATCAACTTACACCTTCATTTAACAAACAAGAACATAGGTATGTATGTATCTCCTTAACATATATGTCCCTCCATATAAAAATATAACCATTTGTTTTCTACTCCCCGTCAAACAACAAGGCCTTCTGGGAGTGCTTCATCTCAGCAGCATTGCTTCAATAACAAAACTGGACCGGTTTCGGCATGCAGGGTCGCATCAGCAGTCAGACTTTCTTTAACCAATAATCGAACTGCTAGATGTAATAACAGGCAAAGGACCCTCTCTCTACGATACTGGTCCTAATGTCTACTTTCATTTGAATCGGCGCCCTGTCCGTCACACGCGCACGTGCGTTACGTAATCATCAGGCGCGTGTAGCGTGTTGCGCATTTATATTTTTATTTGGAAGTGTGAGTGCGGTGAACATTAAGAGGGTGCCCGTGGCGAGTAGCGAGGCCTGTAGTTAAGGTAGGGTGCCTCTGACGCATCACCTAGACAATGTTTGGCACGGCCGAGTAAAGTGTGCACATCAGTTGCGTGTTATCAAGCACAAAGATTTGAAAGCTATTTTCTTCCCAACACAATTTTAAAAGTTCGTATTTTTAGAACTTCTTCCAGCAGTAGATGATGACAGCATTGTTCATAATACCTTTCTCAATGTCCACTATCATTCGCAGTGGCTAGAGCGCTGGACTCAATCTTAAGATTGTGAGTTCTGAGCCAATCATATCTCCGGGGTCGATAAAACAACCGCTTTTTGGAAAGATCAACAGCGGTAGACCTATGGATAGTCTGACCCTCGGCGTGAGAATTTGGACTTTTCAATAGGTTACAGGCCATACCCGTAGGGTTTATTGGGACAGAGAGCCAATGTAACATTGACTTGTTCTGCAGAGTTTATTTTCATCCGGGTCAGTGAAAATATTTCTGCATCCGGCACACCGCATCCAGTATCCATCTCGCTGCGGCTACTAGTCACGTACCACCTACTCTCCAGCCTAATCAGCGACCCAGAAAATATCGATTGAGCCATTAAACCCATGCTTTCATGTATCAAATATTCATTGGGACATAAGTGAAATAAACAAATCACGCGCTCCATACCTTTGCGTTTTAGGAACCGAATGTTCAACTTCGATTAATTTCCCGTGGATTTCGACTTTTCCTACGAGAAGGGAAAGGGTGGGGAGAGGGGACGGAATTAAAAACACAGGTACGAGAGCCTACAAGTCACCGAGAAGGACAACGTTAGAACGAGTTTGAAACGCACGTGCGGCGCAATTGAGCGTTAACGATCACCAACAAGACCAATGTTTGTACTGCGGTTATAGTAGGGACGCGATGAATTATGCACAATGGAATTGGCGTGGAATTGGTGCTTGGCAGGACCGGCCCACCGTCCACTAGCTCCGTAAACGTTGCACCTCTGAACAAGACTTCAGTAACCCCGACGCAGCACATTGACCAAAGTGGTCACACAAACCCCGTTGGCCCGTACGCCACAGCGAGGCCCTCATTCATAAAGTCCAGCGGTTGATACACAAAAGAGCCGCTGTACATGTACACGTGTGCATTTGTCTGAATGGCGGTGCTGTCTCAAATCACCATCACCACCAACCACTTCACCGACCAGAACTGACCAGCGTATGGTCAAACAACACGCATGACCGACACGACGGCGTTGGGGAAGGCCTTCTTCATTCAGGAGTGAATTGACAAAAGGGCTTTGAATATGAGCAGGCGTATGACTACCATGAACATATTACTTTAATGGAAATACAAGGTACAATGTTTACATACACCATATGTAACAATGGGAATACGGCCGTGAACTAAAAACATTGCAGTGTCTGTTTGCATCTCTTTCACACAGTTGTGGCAAGGTGCTTTTAAACATTATAGAGGTTGAATGGGGGGGGGAGAGATGACGTAACTCTAGCGTGTAAACTACTACACGTTTGGGGGGCTGCGCATGGTAAAACTATGGTGTGGGTTTTTATACTATGGCGTGGGTATGGTGCGAGTTTTGTTGACTTTTACCGCGTGAATATTTTTGATGGATAAATAAAATTGTTGACAAAATGTATAACGCGCGCAATTACATAATGACCCTTATATATGTTACAAAAACGTTATTAGTTCCTTCCAGCAATTAACACAAATATCGCTGGGTACATCACACAAAGTTTGGTGGCTAACATTCACACGTATATGCGCGTGTACCAATCGTGTGTGTAAGAGTTTGTAAAAGCGTTTTTTTTGTAAAATCGTTGCATTTAAATACCGCTAATACGAATCCTCGTTGTTTGCGTTCACCATTGTGGGGGAGGCTCTTCAATTAAGCCTCGAGACCTATCTCCAATTTTGTTGTTTGTTGTTGCAGATGTTGTTTCTTGCCTGGCTTGTTTGACCAAATTACTGGGTTCGTCTTATGCCTGAACAAGCAAATCTCACCGTGGTATAGTGTAAGACGTCTCAGACTAAGACGACGTCTTAGACGACCGTCAACCCCGCACTGTATTCGCAACGCTTTTCAGATGCGCAGCACGCACCCTCCCCCTTTGGGGGTAAAACACCCTTCGACGTAAATAAGAATGGTTATAACGTTGAAAACAAATGTGTGCGCGTGAGTTTATCGTTTGCTTGCTCTGTGGCAGTCATCGTCGATATTAATCATATAACCTTTTTTTAACAGAGCGCACGGCGATCCGTCGCTTCGCTGGTCCATTACGCGAGACCCGCGTAGTCCTTGAGAGATGGAACACCGCCGCCACACTCTGTCCCTCTCTCTCTCTCGACAAGTTTGGCCCAGAGACGGCATTTTTCATTCCATCTTCATCTTACAAATAAACTTTACGAAACACTCCCGACGCCGCGAAGAACGTTGAAGATTCAAGAGGAAGAATTCGTCCGTCGCGAACGTCGCTTACTACGTGCACACGACATTTGCAGCGTACCCGAGGTTTATACTACAGAAGCGCTCCCGATGTCGGGGGTTGCTGTTCGGCTCGTTTCGGGCGATCATATTTCGACGTTTTTTTTACTGCAACTTAAAGTTTCCCTCTCCCCGCCATCAACCCCCCCCCCCTCCTATTTCAGAAGCTCCCAGCGCGTGGAGCGAAACGTCGGACACGCAGATCGCACAGCACGCGCGCCGCGGTACCGACCCCCTGCTCTCCACCACCAGCATATAGCGTGGCAATCTACAGCAGTGATATGACCACGATACACAACACACACACACGTGTATCAGTACTGACACACGTGTGTGTGTCGTGTATGTGTGTGTACATCGGCCTACGTGTTGTGGTTAGCGCACGGAGCTTCGAACCCAGCGACCTGAGTTCGATTCCCGCTTGTTACACCAATGGTGAATATATACGGATTGGTTGCGGGCGAGGTCGACTATCGGTGTGTTAACGTCGGCTCTAGGGAGATAAAGGCGGCCGGGAGAGGTGCTAGCCAGTAGTCCCACGTGTCGGCCTTCATAGGTGCTCGCAAACAGCACTTTGCCTCGCGCCCCCCCCCCCCCCAAACAGTATATTTAAAAAAAATAATATACGTGGTGAAACCTGCCATATATATTTTTTAAACGTAGTTATATACTCTGTGACCCCGGCGCGTTAGCGGGTTAAGAGTGTGGACATTTCCACGTTAAAGTTTTGGTGAGGGTTACACGGAGGACCACGTGCGCGTGCCGATTTGGTAGCGGAGAGCGGCAAGAAATATAATTGTCTCGATTGAGCTCCCATCTCGGGGTCGCTCTTTTTGTTTGTCTCGCCCCATTCACCACGAGGCCCTCTCCCCGTGTGATGCCACCAACAAACCAACAAAAGTGATCTTCGCGTTTCACAGCACTCGTTCGTTTAGTGCCCCCCCACACACACACAACCCACACAACCCAGCCCCCCCCCCCCCCCCCCCCCAGATGGCATTATGTGTGTGTGTGCGTAAGTGACGCGTGCGAATGCCATTATTTCGTTAAGATATATACATACAGCGACAGATTCTTACGTTAAACAGGAATAGCGTCTGTTAAGGCAAGGTAACCCAAGATACAGACAGACGTGCGTATTATAACACACACAGAGACCCCTTTTACATGGGGGGGGAGACGACGCGTTCTATAACATTCGATGCATATGCGACTTGCTCTTCGTGTGGATAGATACATACGGCTATTGCAACAATTGATGAAGTGGGTTGGGGGGGGTTAAGGAGGTAGTTATGTTAGTTATGCGTGAATCCAGAGAGGGAAGGGTCGGGGGGGGGGTAACATTCAAACACGTAGAAGAATACACGGCACGAGAAGAAGAAGAACTCACAGACACCTACCAGACAGGGCGTCAATGGCTTTCATTGCCCACTGTTCGTCCGTACAATCCACAAACGCGTAGCCAGCCTTCACCAGAAACTGTCCCGACACGGGAATCTTTTTATCGCTGAACAGCGACTCCAGTTCAGCCGGCGAGACGTTCTCGCCGAGGTTGCCGATGTAAAGCTTGTTCATTGTGGCGTCCCAGTTCTTATTCTTCTCCTCCTCCTGGTTCCTGGTCCGAGTCAAGCAGTCGAGAGACAGAATGTGTGTGTGTGCTCTCTCTCTCCTCTTCTGTCCTCCTCCCACCACCTCTCTCTCTTCTCTCACTCTCTCCCCACTTCCCCCTCTCTCTCCTCTCTCACTCTCTCCACCCCCCACAACCACCAACACCACCACCACCACTCTCTCTGGTTTCTCTGCGCTCTCTCTCTCTGATGTCGCCTCTCTCTCCCCGACTCTCTCTCTCACTGCCGCACTCTCTCCTCTCTCACTCTCTCCACCCCCCACAACCACCACCAACACCACCACTCTCTCTGGTTTCTCTGCGCTCTCTCTCTCTGATGTCGCCTCTCTCCCCGACTCTCTCTCTCACTGCCGCACTCTCTCCTCTCTCACTCTCTCCACCCCCCACAACCACCACCAACACCACCACCACCACTCTCTCTGGTTTCTCTGCGCTCTCTCTGATGTCGCCTCTCTCTCTCCGACCTCTTTCTCTCTCTCTCTCTCTGCCGCACTCTCTCCTCTCTGTGATATTCGTGTTTTGATTTCTACTACGATTATTGATTATGATTATTTGCCCGGTGGTCTCTTTGTACGTGGTGGGAACAGGAGGCGGGGATGTACAGAATGACCGGGGTGGGGGGGGGGTAGGAGGAGGGATTGGGGGTGGTGGGAGGGGTTGGTGGGAGCGCTTTTGCGAGCAAATCACACAAATCACACACACACAAACACATATATACACGAAGGCTGCAGTTTCCCACAAGTTGTTCCTCTCACACACACACCCCTTCTCTCTCTGCCCTCTTCCCTCTCTGTCAGTGGAGCTACTGCCTCTTCTCGTTCTATCTCTTTTGCTCTATCACCCGCAGCTGCCCTTCTTCTCCCCCCCCCCCCCACTGGCTGGGGTTGTTGAGACTTAGACTAGGGGAGGGATGTTGAGTGGTGGTGGTGGTGGTCTGAGTAGCCGTCCCTGCTCACACGAGAAGAGAGAGAGAGGGGAGAGATATTGGGGAGGTGGCCGTGGAAGCTTTCTCAGAGGTAGCGCCGCCTACAAATGAAATAATTCCCAGGAAAATTCGGCGAATTCTGCATGGCAATGTTCATGCTGCGTACACCTCCCTACCTGTGTGTGTGCACGTATTACAAAGACAAAGATCCCCCGTGTAGCCTTAACAGACTGTAGGGGCAAGTGCACAGGGCGAGTAGCACCTAATGAAGGCCGGCACAGCACACGAGAGGGGTTGGATGGCCAGCACGTACTACTTACACGTATATGTACACGTGTATGTACACGTGTATGTACACGCACACATGTACATGCACAAATGTGCTTGCACGTATATATATTTACTCGGACTTACATATGTACACACGTATCGACGTGCACGTTTCAACTCGTGCACGTGTGCTCACATATATGTACACGCACGTGCACAAGCATTGCATGTTTATACCGCACATGTGTACGAATAGATGACTTCACACGTTTCCACGAATGTAGTGTACGCGCACGTGTACGTGCACACATTAACATGCACGTGTGCTTACACGTGTACACCTTACATGAATGTGTACACGGCTGCGTATTCTACACGTGTTCGAACATTTACACGAATACAGAGTAATGAACATAACGTGGACTTTTATACTTGTAAACGTATACATATGCTTATGACAATTGACGCATACGCATATACGAACACACGTGTAGAATCGTATTCATATGCACGTGTACACTTACACATGCATACTCTTTACAAATACAGGACACACACTTTACACGTTCATATATACATGAATATGCACAAAATAGGTACATTTTTACATACATATTTTGTACAAATAAACATGTATACTTACATGTACTCAACCACAGTATATATCATGTGTATACACGTACTTACACATATACACACATGTACACATACTAATGCACATCCATATACATGCATATCAATACACATTCACATACACACCCGCTCACATACATACACACACACATACAAAGATCCTCCATATAGCCTCTAACAGACTGTTGGGGCAAGTGCTCTTAGCGAGTTCCTATGAGGTCAAGCGCGGCACACAATACAAAGATTCCCCGTATAGTCTTTAATAGGCTGTTGAGACAAGTGCTGTTCGCGAGCACCTATGTAGCCGCACATATATACACATACAGTACACGTAATCACACACAAACAAACCTACAGCATACTCACTATCGTATTTAGTAGTTTATACATATATAATAAAACATACATATATACACATCCAGTAAATACAAAGCACACTGATGCATGCATACACACACGCATGCATACGTACAGCTCACACACATTCGTACACACATGGACACATGTTACACACATACACACAACATATCACACACATACCAAAGGCAAACACACAAACAAAGACACACATAAATACACACGTACGTGCGTACACACACGCATCCTGCACACATACGTACACACGGGCATACGCAAACATAGTCACAAACCCATACACGTACATGCATGCGTACACGTACGTACACACGTGCATGCGTACACGCATGGACACACGTGCATGCGTACACGCATGGACACACGTGCATGCGTACACGCTCATACATCACGCATTCATTCGTACCGGGGGCTCACGTTGCTTGCAGAAAACACCACAGCACCATCGTGATCCTTAACTCCCCACACTTCCTTATGAAGTACACATGTAGTAGGCCCTGTTTAGATAACGTTTCGGGAAATGGCCCTTCTTCAGAACAAACGAGAAGAGCCATCGTTCCGAAATCAACCATTGCACCAACAACGTTGATTTAGGCCAATTGATCCGTCTGCGGTTCAGTTACAGCAGTGTTAATAATCAAGGTTGGTGTTGGAGTGGAATTGATGCACTTGCTCTGAACGGAGGTACGTTGTCCGAAACGTCAGCGTGATATGCGGCGCGATGTAGGGCAGTGTTTATTTACAGACGCCGGGATGTTTTTTAGCCTGTGTGTGTGTACATTCATTAGCTGTAGCCTCTGTAAAGTGGAGACCCTCTTCCGCTAGCAGTGAAACAAGACATTTCAGGGCTGCGTCTTTGTAACCACACGCGCGCACGCACAATGACCACCGTTCTGTAGCTAGGCAAAAGTTGCTATCCAAATCTTAAACTCAAGAAAATCCTTTCCCCTTTATTGAGGATCACCCTTTTTTGGTGTGTGTGTGTGATATCCACGAGCGCGTATCTGACCGTTATGTAATACTAACGAAAATACATAATTAGGACTCACATTTTTGTTGGACAGTAGTTATTGCAGGGCTAGAAACGATTCCCCTGCTCGTTCCCGATTAGTGCGGCTAAGATCCGATATTGTTGGAGTGAGGGATATACAGCCTCGTTTGCGGGCCCCTTCTCAGTGGCAGGGGTCTCAGTGGTGGCCGCGGGGTGGATGAAATGAAGTCGCGGGCCGTGTGTGGACCACGAGCCATGCGCTCCCCCAATCCTCATCCCCCCACTCTACCCCAAAGATGTAAAATCTCACACAATGAGCCGCATAAACAGGACCCACTCAACTCCCCCTCCCACATTACATAATAGCAGTAATATATTACTTTAAATGCAACACCCCCATGTCTCTTGAATCTGAATGATATGTTAAATGTGACGCTATGAACTGATGCTTCCTAATATTTTATGGGTTGGCATACAGCACATTGTTTTTTCTTTGCGGTGGCGAGATGTTAACTACCTCGCCTGGTATGCAGGAGGTTTTGGGTTGGATCCCGACCCTGACGCCTTCTGTTGTATATTTCGAGTCTGAACGTTTCTCTCCCCGTGGTCGCGTGGATTTTCTCCGGGTCCTCTGCTTTTTCCCCTCCACATTTAGAAAATGCTTTGAGAGTATTTGGCTACTGCTATCAAATTCCACGTGGATCGCTACTTCTTTGAGCTGTCATTTGTGTGCAGGTCGCTTCTGAAAAAGAGCTATAGAGCTCAGTGGGGCCTTGCCTGGTAAAATTAAAAAAAAATAGTTCAGTGTAGAGGAAGTGCTCTGACCAACAACAGCGTCCCGTCAACCAACGAGGATTTGTTTAGCACGGCCTCCTGGCCCTGCCGATGAGCTCCAGCAGGGTGAACCCGGCACAGAGACAAATGCTCCTTGGTGACAATAAATACGGAAGATCAATAGGCCCATGGACTACACCATCACCACCGACAGTATTCTTGTGTGGCGAGATGGAGCGGACGTGGAGCTATTCATTATGTTCCGAGGCCTACATGTCGTGATTGTGTGTGCATGTGCATTCACGTCGGCCGCGTGGTGTCACACACCTAACCCTGAACATAGAAGACAAAGATCCCCCGTATAGCCCGAACAGACTGCTGGGGCAAGTGTTGTTAGCGAGCACCTATGAAGGCCAGCACGGCACACGAGGGGGTGGGTGGCCAACACCACGCCCGGCCGCCTTTGTCTCCCCAGTGATGATGTTCACACACCACACAAGATACTCATTTGAGGCTGAGTCGACCTAGGGGGGGGGGGTGTCCAGGACCAGTCGTCACTGGTGTTGGCCATGAGTGGGAATCGAACTCCGGTCGCCTGGTTCGTAGCGCAGCGCACCAACCCGCTACACAACCGCTCCCAACTCTCACCCTGAACATCTCGCACACACACGCACACGAATACATTCTGCTGCCCATAACGGTGTGCATTCATTCGCGTGCATGTAAAGTGACGATGATCATCAACCATGAACAATTCACTGCTGGATGAAGGCCTTTCAGTTCCCCCCGCTGAAGCCGCCGTCTCGCGATGCAACGACGACCCACAATGGCACCTCCCGCTCCATCCCCACCGCCTCCCGTTAGCGCGGTTGGCTACGTACGGTGCGAAAGAAGTTCGACGCGCGGACGCAAATCTCCGCGGTGATCCCCGCTCATTCGCTGGGCTCGACCTTAGTCCCGTGCGTCATTTCTACCGCGAGGCGTCCTCCAAAGCCCCGCTTCCCTTCCCCCCCCACCCGACGGTCAACGCGAAGAACGTCTCCAGTTGGCGCACGCCGTCCGCGCTCTGCGCGTTCCGGGGCCTGCTCAAGGCGCGGCTCCCCCCCCCCCCCCGATGCCGGCGAGGAGGCGCGCGTGGCTCTTCGAACGCTGCTGGTGGTGGTGGTGGGGGGGGATGATGGGTCGAGGGAGCCGTGAAGCCCCCTGCACCAGCGCGAACGGCATTCTGCGTTTCACTCTCTAGAGGAGCGTGGCGTGGCGACTGGCGACGCTTGCGCGTGCAGCCCCCACGTGTGCCAGTGGGTCATTGTTGTTGTTGTTTTGTGACGTGGTGCTTGCTGCTGCTGCTGTATTCGATGCGACTTTGTATCGAGATAGACTCCAGCGCTTTTGCTGCTGTCAGCAATAAACGTGGTTTTACAGTCAAACGTCTAATATATGCGTTCCTCTTTCTATTTACAAGCGTGGTCCTAGCCCAGCCCAAAACACTCAACACCTGACCTCTCTCCACTGCTAGCTCTGCGAACTTCAATATTTGTCTCGTTCGACGTTTCCACGTTTCTGAGCCGCCGTTCTCAATGCCAGTGACCGGGGGGGGGGGAATGAAAGTCGCACGCGACATGTTCGGTGAACAATTGGAATATGTCCCCATCGGAAGCACCCAACACGAAAACACGTGGACAAGAATCGTGTCAAACTAAAAGGACAATCATTGCAGGCGGACCAAGATTGAAAAATTATTAAATAAAAAGGTGCCCCAAAAAATGCAAAGTTGGAGTGCTTTTGGAAATATGAACTTAATAACGAAAAGTAACACTTATAAACATATTACGTAAATAATTACCTGTTTATTATATTATTGTTGTTGTATTGTCCTGCTGCTATGGCATATGGTATGTAACAATATTATCATAATTTACAGCCCATTGTCAATCCACCGCTGGATGAAGTCCTCTCCCCCACGTCCGTGTTGGTCAAGAGAGTTGCTTGACCATACTTCACCACGCTGGTCAGTCCGGGCGGGTGACATGGTGGGTGCAGGACCAGTGCAGACATCACTCGCCACGGACGGGATATAACTTTGTGTAACCGGATTCATCGGACCGTGCGCTCACCTAGAACCACCGCTCCTCTCCTAAATAGACAAGACAATGGTATATCTGTGTATTGTATAACAATACAGCTCCGTCTATCGGTGTGTAGTGTACACATAGACCAGATCTTGCGTGTTCATCGTTTACGTGGACATCTTGTGCCTTTGATCGGTTCATCCGGAATGCGCGTGCCCTGTCTCGTCCAGATCTCGTTGAAGCTAAGCAGGTGGAGGGCCTGGACAGGGCTTGGATGGGTGGTCACCATGCACAGAGGTTGGCGTTGGAGACTTGGAGCTGTGACGCGCGGTGAGCAGCAGAGGGCATCGCAGCATTTGGTTGTACTGGTATTGTCTATGCTAATCGCCTTCAACCCGCACTGACCAAGCGTGGTGAAGTATGGTCAAATATAATTCCGCCATGACCGTCAGGGCGTAGGGAGTTTCCTTCATCCAGCAGTGGACTGAGGTAGGGATGACGTTTTGGATTCGACATGTTCGGATTTTTAAGGATAATAGCAGATGGGCTTGTTTGCTTCTTCAGAACTTTGGTTCATTGACACGATGCGCTGTTGTAATACGCCTTCCTCGTAATCAAAGCGACGTCGCCGATGCCATGTGCTCACGTAATTCCCTGTGACGTAACGCTTTCGGACGAATACTTCCCAAAAATTGCAATAATTCGAAATTTTAACAGTTGGGAGTGGTTCTTCCCCCACGAATTAAAACATCGAGAACACATCCCCTTACGTGTACACACCACGTGTTGTCTGTGTTGTGGAATACTGTGAAACCACTGTGGTGTTCGAAGCCCTGTGAAGGCTATTGCTGACAGAAGAGGATTATAAATACGTTATGAGTCAATGCACGTGTAGTGACATATAATCGGTCACGTGGCAGAATAGCGCTGGCTGCTGGCCGGGAAGGGGATCTGCAGCTTGCAGCAGCCCTGACTGACAGCAGGCCACGTGATAGACCAGAGAGGGATGTAGGGGAAAGGTTACGGAAGGGGCACATCGAGAACCCGCTGGTAGGTTACAGAAGGGGGGCGTGGCCGGGGCGGAGCCGGGCCACGCCCCCCAGTATAAGAGGGGCCCCGGGAGGGGACCTCGGGGCTGTCGTTTGGAGTGGGATCCCCGTCGTCGTTGCTGTTGAAGATCGTCGCAGTCGTCGCTGTGGTCTCGTCGCTGTCGTCCTCACCTGATATTGTGCTGCTAGGGGTAGTTGGCTGTCTCGGTTCAGTGCCGTCAGCGTCAGACGGCTAGCGTTGTGAATAGGCTAGCGACTTACGTAGAGTTGTGTATAAACGAGAGAGAGAGAAGAGTGTGTACCAGCGTGAGGTGTGTATTCTGCAAAGGGTTCTCGATTTAATAGAATAACTGCCTCCAAGAACTTGCGTCTCCAAGTCAGTCACTACATTTGGTGTCAGAAGTGGGGTCCCGTCGTGCTGCTGGAGCCTTCGTCGCCGTCTCCGTCTTCATCATCTCGGCGTCGCCAGTCAGGCAGTCTGCCAGCTGTCCTGACTGGGAACCGTAGTTACCAAGTGTAAACAGAGTGCCTCCTACTCTTCGTGTCTCTGAGTCAGTCACTACACACGTAATGCACACATTACTGAGTGATACGTACACTCAATAATGTGTGCATTGCATTGTTACGTATGGACTGGACCAGTGACACGTAACACTATGATACATACACTCTAGTCCACTATGCCCACATTTAGCAATACATTATATACACGTATGGCACCGTGGGCATCATGGTTACGACACCAGAATTGCAATCCACTGGTCGACGTTTCGATCTCCAGGTGCGGCAGTTGAAACAGTGGCAGGTTTCTCAAACCAGTCCGCCGCCCCTGCCTCTGTCTACCCAGCAATACAAGTTACAATAAAGTACGATAAATGATCAGCAGCCGTCGACATGATCTAGCCACTGCTGGATGAAGGGCTCCTCGAGTCTTCGCCATCTCTCCCATCTCTATTTTATTCTTGAGGTGAAGAAAACTCATCGAGCACCTGCACAGGAGCTGATTTCATCGCTCCATGTCCGTCCCGTCCTTTGGCTGCCACGTGGTCCTTTGTGGACGTGACCCATCAGTCGTTGGCGGGTATCGAACTCACGTTGTCGGGGTCTGCACCACCGCTGCACTCTCTAAACAGTGCTACTCCTGGCTGCCTTTTTGCACGCATGTTGAATTTCTTTCACGCCGTAAGTAGCCCAACCTTGCTAATCGCATGCAACAAATGAAGAACAAAGATCCGTATAGGCTGTAACAGATTGTTGGAGCAAGTGATGTTAGCAAGCACCTATGAAGGCTGGAACGGCACACGAGGGGGTGGGTGGCCAACAACCACGCCCGGCCGTCTTTGTCTC